TATACTGAAGACTTGTTATTACGAGACGGACCCACACAATCTCGACTCACGCGCACACCATCACACTCACTCTCACCCTCACTCAGCTCACCTTCTCCCTCACTGTCCGAAGCAGAACCTGCTCCGTCATCCACTGCGGTTTGACTCTCCTCCTCACTTGCATCGTCCTGCGTCTCACCTTCACCACCCACGCCAACCGTGAATGCCGTTGCCTTCACGTCAGTCGTCCTTTCCGATTGTTTCCTTTGTATTTTTACCGTGAATTCATAGGTCCGGTTGTAATCTGCTGTAGATCTCCGTGGTCTGTCATTTGCTGCTTTGTTTTGTGGATTAGTTGTTGTTGTTGTTGTTGGATGTGAACCTGGTGTTGTTGTTGGATGTGAAGCTGGTGTTGTTGTTGCAGCCATGGTTGTTGGTCTTTCTGTTGAATCCAGTTCTGGTTCCGGTGGGACAAATCGACCGCCGCGGGTGCTCCCCACCAACACAGACCTCGAAGGAGGAGGGTCAGGGGGAGGGAGAGGTGCTGTTACCACTCGAGGCACAGCCCCATGCAAAAGTCTGTGCTTCTGGGTGCTTTCTTGTCCCTTTGGTTTTTAGCTTTTTATTTTTTCACTTTATTTTTGCTGTCCCGCCTATGGAAATATTTCCCGGTGGGTCTGGCTTATCGCCTTCGAAAGAAGTGAATAAAGGAGACATAATAATATAGATATTTGGGGTGCTCAGGCAAAGTGCAGTACGGTACTTGGTCAGTTCATTTGACAGGCCAGTGTGAAATTTGCGAGGCGGAACATATTCTAATGCCTGCATTTCGAGACCATCTCAGACCGCTTGTTCAGCAGGAGCTTCTTGGGTGTAGTCAGGATGTGCAACTTTTCCGCAATAAATAGATTGCATTTTGTGACTCACATCTGTATGATCGGCTCTTCTCCCGCACATTCCATGTAATGGTCAACGGCTTTCCCTCGCTCTTCAGCTCCCATACGTGTTTTGCGAGCTCAGTGCTGTTTTTGTATTTTTCATGATGCATGGAGGTCAGTTGGTTGGTGTGACGGGCTTTGAAAGGTGTCTCTGATAGGCCGATGTAAATCTTGCTGGTAGATTCTGCAGTGGCCTCATACACTATCTCCTTCGCCTGGCACTCTCCGCACAGAGGGCAGGGCCCCTTGATTCTGCATTTGCATGCCTTGGTTTAAGAGAGCATGTCTGAGAATACCAAAGTATGTGTGCAAGTGGACCTCTCCGATTTCGCTCAAAATTTGCAGGTAGGTTCCCTTTGGGGTGTGGATCGATTATGCAAAGCCCTTGAAAAAGTTTCTGAAGGGAACCTTGAAATTTGCATACCCCTCAAAAATGGCCGAAATATCACATTATTTATGGGTCTAGAAACGAGTCACGCCACAGCGTATACGAACAAGCTATGAACAAAACTCCATCAAGCCAACATTGCCTCACCTTAGAAGAGTTCCTGGAGCAGTACCGCTTAGCCACGCCAGCATCCCAGAAGACGAGGTCCATCACCCCCTGACGCCACAAAGGATCGTCTTGAAAATAGCCAATTTACAAGCGCTGGGAAAACAGCCAGCTACGTCTTCAATTGGCCAGAACTATACACCGGCAGATAGTAGAACACCTCTTCTAGCGCTGAGGACCCCATTTTCCTTTTGGGGTTTTCTTGTAATAAACTTTTTTGAATTTTTCCAATCGACCATGCTGAAATACGGCCAAAGTCATACCTGCGCAGGAAAGCTCGCTACTCCGCGACGTCTCCTAAGCAATTTCTACTCCAACACTACTCCCAAGGCCGCAGAACAAAGTGTCGTGTTGACTCTGACAAGGAAAAGCAGCGGTCACTCCAAACGACAAGCTTCTCCTTGCGCCACCAATAATGTTTTGTGCGACTGTTGATGCAAAAGTGACTGAAGGCCTGAGCGCAGTTTTTGAATTTTATTGCAAGGTGCACGGTGAGATCGCGTGCTCTGTGACGTAGGATGACGCTTCCTGCATCACGTTACGCGGCGCGCGGCCATCGATCGCGAATGTGCCTGGAACGCTACACGGAACAGACCAGGATGGCAGAGGTAAGATGAGCTTCATTTCCAGCTTAAACTGCTGAGAACCCCCACAAACTGTCCTAGGAGTGTTGCAATGGCAGCAAGCCGTTGAAATATGCCCCGTACAGCATGGAGAGTTATTCGTCTTTCACACTTACCTCCTGCAATCCCGAACATAGTCCAACAGTAAAAGTCCCTTGTTTTCATGTCGATGCTCGACAAAAGCGACTAGCTCGGTCCCTTTGTGTTGACTGGCACGCGAGCAGCACTGGCTGCACGCACTTGTCGCGTGAACTGCATGAGAGATTTCTTACGTCATAAAGAATGTGATTTCATCATCATTTCACTGGTCTTCGACCTACATGGTCAGGGAAAGTCCCGGTTCGTAGGCCTACAACACGGTCAGCGTGTTCTTGAGCGCCGTAACAACACAAGTGTGATCACTTCCAGACCAACGGGCGTTCAAGGCGAGTAACAAGCGCACTTGACAAAGGTGACTCTGAAATCTCGTGAGCCGTGGGCCAAGCGACTTGGCATTCTTGCGTCACAAGGCACGTGATTTCATCGTGCATCTTGCAATAAAATTCAAAAACTGCGCTCAGGCCTTCAGTCACTTTTGCAGCAACAGTCGCACAAAAAATTATTGGTGGCGCAAGGAGAAACTTGTCGTTTGGAGTGACAAGTGATCACCGCTGCTTTTCCTTGTCAGAGTCTACACTACACTTTGTTCTGCGGCCTTGGGAGTAGTGTTGGAGTAGAAATTGCTGAGAAGATGTCGCGGAGTGGCGAGCTTTCATGCGCAGGTATGACTTTGGCCGTATTTCAGCATGGTCGAGTGGAAAAATTCAAAAAGGTTTATTTCAAGAAAACCCCAAAAGGAAGATGGGGGACATGTCCTCAGCGCTAGAAGAGGTGTTCTACTATCTGCCGGTGTATAGTTCTGGCCAATTGAAGACATAGCTGGCTGTTTTCCCAGCGCTTGTAAATTGGCTATTTTCAAGACGATCATTTGTGGCGTCAGGGAGTGATGGACCTCGTCTTCTGGGATGCTGGCGTGGCTAAGCGGTACTGCTCCATGAACTCTTCTAAGGTGAGGCAATGTTGGCTTGATGGAGTTTTGTTCATAGCTTGTTCGTATACGCTGTGGCGTGACTCGTTTCTAGACCCATAAATAATGTGATATTTCGGCCATTTTTGAGGGGTATGCAAATTTCAAGGTTCCCTTCAGAAACTTTTTCAAGGGCTTTGCATAATCGATCCACACCCCAAAGGGAACCTACCTGCAAATTTTGAGCGAAATCGGAGAGATCCACTTGCACACATACTTTGGTATTCTCAGACATGCTCTCTTAATTGTTCTGGCTCTCGCAGGTTGCTCTTGTTGTGGCTGCTGATGACCGCTCCCATGTTCGGCATGCAGCTGTAGCTCACTTTCAGGGTGTTACGGTTGAAAATCTTCCTGAGCTTACATGAAAAAGAAAAAAATGCAATCTATGTACCGCGGAAAAATTCCACATCCTAACTACACCCAAGAAGCTCCTGTCGCGCCTACTGTCCCGCCTTGGCCCGCGCCAGCTTTCTTCCCATATCTTACAACAGATTTAGCGAAAATTTGTTCATGCTTGTGACCCTATAATTATGTTAATAAGCATACTGCTGGGGAGACACGAGTATCAGTTGTCTGATGATTGCCCAACGGCATGAAACTCAGAATTACTATCAAACTGAACGTCCTCTGCTGAGTCTGCTATGTAGCTGTATCTATATTTTTTAAATTCGCTTCTTTTTTTTTGCTGTCCCACCCATGGAATTATCTTCCCGGTGGGCATGGATAAAGAATAAGTATTCCGTATTCACGAGCATATAAGGGCATGGACCTATATCCGGATATAAGCGCAGTCCTCATATATAAGCGCATGGGCTTGTAACTGAACAGAATTCACATCTCCGGTATCATTGTACCGGTATTGACAAAATTCATTGCGGAATTACGACGTATTGGAAGGTGTTATCGCAGGGACAGCATCAAAGAAATGCTCTGATTCGGATATAAGCGCACCGGTCGAATATAAGCACATGGGGCTTACAAGCGATTTTTTCCATATTTCAAGCAGCGAAAACTGAAGTCGCAACTTCTAAGTTCGTATTGCTGTTCCTCACGCGGACGTGCGACTAGTCATTGGAGTTGACAGTGTTGTGAATAGCTACTGGCTCTCAACGTCTGTTTGGCACAACTCCATGAGCGACTCTGACTCACGCTGCTACCTGGGGCTTCACGAGGTGTTTGTCGCGCTGGAAACAAAGTGTTTCTGTAAGTGTGTATCCCTGGTGATGGTTTGGCCTGGAGAGCAGTATATAAGTGGTGCTTTTCAGGCACAATCTTCCTCAGCCTGGTCAAGCTCAACTGATGAGGGGTGAATTCCCCGAAACACTGTGTAATGAGCAGGGAGTGGTGCTTTCTTGCAGGTTTGACGAGTGGAAGGTGCGAAGTTCTCCTCGTGTGCTCCGGATGGCAGTCGTGAGTCAGTCAATTGTCAAGTTCGCGAAGAAGTGTGTTCCTATTTGGAACAACCAACTTCATGAAAACTGCAATGTTTCACTGATAGTAATACTGAACACTGATAGTAATTATGGATAATAATACTGCTTCCTGCCAAGGCAACATGCTTGTTGTTCTCCTGCTAAAACTGCTCTGCAAAGAACTCTGGTCATATATGCCCCCTACTCAAGCCACTGGGTGTGCCAAGCTTGCCACAGCTCCTCTATCAGAAGCTTGCATGCAAATGTCATTGTCTGAAGAAAAGTCCATTTTTGAAGGTTCTAGTGACATTGATCAGTGACGTTGCCACCCCTCAGCAGAGGGCCACACACGATCAAGTGTCAAGCCTGTTAGAGAAGTAGTGGTAAACACCGGTCAAATCAGCTCAGTGTCAGGTGCAAATCACTTACTTCTACAATGAGGAACCATTCTGAATTCTCCTCCTGGTTGAGGACAGTTGCTCGAAGTTGTGGACGGTGCTGCGTGATATCCCATCCGACAGATAAGGTCAAATACATAAGCCATTGATCCATTTTCTTTGCCATATTTAGGAACTAAACTCAAACTGTTATTGATGGTTGGCATCACACATACAGCTGAATTTCAAAGAGGAGCAGAGTCATATCCAAACAGAGAGTTGCCTAGAAATATCACACTCTAATAGATGACTTGCACAAAGATTGTCTGGGTTCGAGACGGGGCAAGTGGACCTTCCTCTCTCAGTGACTTCCCGACCTTTTGAGGCTTTCGCTTTTCGCCTCAGGTTGACGGACACTGAGCTAGCATTTTGGCTAGAGTTGAAACGGAACGCAAAAAATCGATGCATGCCACATAGCAAGATGAGCAAGAATGAGGGTATTTTTTAGTATCATTGGAAATAGTGTAGTCATGGGCTACAGCAAGCAAGTCGTGTCCAGGAGTTTGAGTACATGTACGTTCCCGCAGTGGAAGCGGAGTCAAGCACACCGAAAGTTGGTCGACGTCTGAGAAAGAACTCGATTCCGATTTATTACAATAATAACTCATCTCGGATGCGCACTTCAACAGCCGTGCTAGAGCTGATTGCCAGTTCGGTGTAGAACATCAGTACCGTTGATCAGTTTCGTGCAATGTTATCGCATGAGGTGATTGTGAAGTAACTGGTGGTGTTAGTGGATATTATAGCAAAACTTGTTGCTCTTTGGTCCTCTTTTCTTCTTGAATATAATAATAGGTGGTCTTATAAAGACCAGAATAAAAACCGAGGCAAAGTCGTCGTCATTACATCAGGTGATAAAGACCGAGAAACAAAAGCTACCTGTGTGCTGTTGCTATGACTACCCACTAACCCGACGCAATGAGAATATCCAAATTGTGTTGTTCTCGTTCCCTGGGTGCATAAAAGGTGGTGTTGTCCAGTAGCCATTTGCTTGATTGGTGTACCCTGCAGTAAAATTGGTTATTGCGCGTTTGCTGCTGGCATTAGCCCTTGGGCCTATCACCCTTGGGAGCCTAGGGTAAGTGTAAAGTGCTTTATTAACTGTCTTTAAATATAATTGTCTTTGTTACCTGTCCATACTACTTCTGCTGTACCTTATCAGACACAGTTGCATGTAGGCGACTACAAATGACCGGTCTTGTGCTACGGATGGACACGGCCACACCACCGCAAGTAGCCATGAGCGGCTATTTTGACAAGGGCCATAAAGCACCTCGTAGGCCGCCAAAGTATACACTGGCCACAAGTCATGTCGGTCAGCTGAATAAGCTGGGTGTGCCCATGAAGACCATGGAAGACCTTTCCAGGTGCAGACAACAAGCAGCTGACAAGACAGACTGGAAGAAACTGTGCAGCTCGACACCTGAGCAGAAGTAAGTACCAGCAGCTACACCTTGCTGATGATGTTCACAAGACAGAAGCTGAAAACACTGAACTTATTTATTGTTTAGCGTTCTAATTAACTTGGATACTGAGCCAGTACATAGAATTAATATACTTGGTCCGTTTCATCGCAATTGTCGCTTATCTATCGCAACTAAGAACAGGAGTTTTTTTACCGCTCTGTGAAATTTCCAATACGCATAGTGAAAAAGCATGATACAGGATTCCTGTCCGCCACAAGAAATAAATTCAGCGATGGAATCTGATGAAGCAAGTCGAAGAAAGGAAGCAAGGTTACAAAAAATGTGCAAAAGAAAACAGCGACGGAGCGCCTTCTTGCACTCAGGCTTTAGTTTATCCGACTCTGGCTCTGTATCACTCGAGCTGATGCCACTTGAGCTCACATTCACTGGTGTGTATAGCTGCTAGCGTAGAGTACCGTATCTCTTGCTTTCTCCGCTTGGCGTATAGCAGCGACGGGAAAGGAACAGTCGCGGTTGTCACTTTGGCACTTGGAGGAACGTGGGCAGCGTGACCCGTCTGTCACTACAGTACTGTGTGTTCAACAATGTTTTTGAATCAGGCACACATCCCTCTCCAGACAGCTGTCTTACGCTCTGCTGGATACGCTGACCACGACTCTTGTGCTGCCGCTGCCAGGTCGGACAATGTCTTCTTTGCCACCATCTCGCCATCAGTTTGCAGGCTTGCAAAGAATACCAGGTCATTGCAGTTCAAACATTGCAGTTCAAACAACTGAGCTGGCTGGCCTGGCCGTGACTGTCACGCTCTCCAGGTCAGGATGTCGATTTCCCCTGCTACAGTTCCGGTCTTTGAGCTGCGCTTGGCTTTTCGCTGCAGTGAATGTGTGCATTCACTGCAGTGCATTCACTGCAGCGAAAAGTTTCCCACTTTTCCATCAAAATTGTATGAATCGCGATGCCACTGGCGCTAGTCGCGATGGTTATTTTCTTTCTGGCTCCTCTGATCTTGCCATCACAACCTCCCAAACGAATGTGAGTTAGATATCGAGATAGGACTGGGTTTTACCTGTCAAAAGGTGCGTGGGAGATAAGCGACAATTGCGATGAAACGGACCAAGTAGAAGAAATCCCATTGAAACGAGTTATGAAGCAAGTATCTACGGCTGTAACAAGATATAATGTAGTCAGAAAGTGCGATCAAAGGGCACAAAACTGACAGGACACTGAGACATTCAACGACCTGAGGCGTAGTTCTAACACATCTCCAGTGCGCAAAGAAACAGCCTTCCAGCTTGGAAGGTCCAAGCTAAGTCCCACGGTAACAAAAAATGTCAGTTTTGTGCCTGTTATCGCACTTTCTGGCTACTTATCATCTTGTAACAGTCGTGGATAGTTGCTTCATAATTCGTTTCCACGTGATTTCTTCCAGTTTGGTGTTCAACTACGCGAAACATGTTATTATTATTATTGTTAACCTTGAACCTTCCAAGTTGGAAGGCTGTCGGTTAGCGCTACGGAGATGTGTTGAAGCTAGATGTCAGGACGTCGAATGTCTCAGTACTCTGTCAGTTTTGTGCCTAGTTGTTGCACTTTCTGATTGTATATAGTATCTAGTTACAGTGGTGGAGAATTACTCTTAACCCGTTTCCCTATATTCCTTTCTACTTTTATTATTGGCTCAATACCCGAGTTTCAAATTGTTATTATTATCTTCTTTATTCACTCCTTTCGAAGGCGATATGCAAGTCCAACCGTGAAAATAAATCCATGGGCGGGACAGCAAAATGCGGAAAATGCATAATTATAATCTTATTGTCTGCTTGTTTATGTAGACAGCATGGACTGCAGCTGCATTAATGGGTACGAAAATCATGCAAACGAGCCAAATATGTTCGCATAAGCCACTTCGAATAGATACGAAAGTCCAGAACAGTTACAAAGAAATGAAGAAAATAGAGAAAGGAAGTCAAAACCTAGGGTGCCCAAACCACGCTGGCACAGATACCCATGCAACCGCTTCGGTCAGCAGCAAGGGCACGGAATGCCTCTCGATCGACTTTGCTTGACAAGGAAAGTCCAATCCGCTTGGCAGTCACCTCGTGGTAGCGTTGGCAGCGTATGTATTGGTTGTCCCCTCCAGCCCGCTGGATGAGGCTCTGCAAAGTATGCTCCCATGGCCAGTGATGGCGAGCAGTCAGCCGGGAGACGGAGGTCATGCCGAAAGAGCTCACACCTAGCTCTCAAGATGATCATACTGTTAGGCCCACAAGTAATTAGTTCACATTCATTAGTTCATGCATTATTCATTTGGCCTGGGTATCTACTTGCGCGCCCATGTTGGCCATAGCTACCCAGGCCCTCTATATTGCGTTGCTTCTCTCTTCAACTCTTCAATAAGCTCTCTTCAATAAGCTCTCTTCAATAATCTCCCTCTTCAATAATCACCATGTAGTTGTTTCGTTCGTCCTGGTCTTAGTTATCCCGTCTCTACTTGGTCCGCGTCAGCAATATTGTCGCTTATCTTTCGACAATTTGAACTTTGACTTTGGACATGAACGCCTGCACTTGAAGTGATAAAACTTGGTACGATGGACGGTAAGGTATAGAATGACAACCAGCTGTGAGGAATTTATTGTCCAAGGAAGGGTTCCTACTTTTTTCGGTCCTCCTTGTCGCTGCTCTCGGCACTGGTGACAAATATTTTTGCTCGGGATCGACTCTCTTGCTTTTGCAAGCTCATCTCTCTTCCTCTCCGCTGCCTGGCTATTTTCTAGTCCATGGACCTTTTATTTTACTTCTTTAGGTGGGAGCCTCCTTAAGAGTCTCATGCTCTGCCGACTTTTTTTGGAGTGTTTTTTTTCTCCCTCAGTCATCTTTTATATTTTTCTCTCTTTTTTCTTTCTTTTTTCTCCGCGAGGAGGCGGGATTCTTTTTCACGGAGGGGTGGTATGTTAGGCCCACAAGTAATTAGTTCATATTCATTAGTTCATGCATTATTCATTTGGCCTGGGTAGCTAGTTTGCGCACCCATGCTTGCCATAGCTATCCAGGCCCTTTATATTGCGTTGCTTCTCTCTCCAACTCTCTCTCTTCAATAAGCTCTCTTCAATAATCTCCCTCTTCAATAATCACCATATAGTCGTTTCCTTCGTCCTGGTCTTAGTCATCCCGTCTCTAATAAATGTCGTTCCACCAACCTACCTGTTCCCGTTGTCAGTTGTGTTAGTGAGCAAGAAACCTCTCTTATTCGGACCCAACATTGGCGCCCAACTTGGGGCTCGAACCCACGACCCTGAGATTAAGAGTCTCATGCTCTGCCGACTTTTTTTGGAGTGTTCTTTTTCTCCCTCAATCATCTTTTATCTTTTTCTCTCTTTATTCTTTCTTTTTTTCTCCACGAGGAGGCGGGATTCTTTTTTCACGGAGGGGTGGTGTGTTAATCCCACAAGTATTATTAGTTCATATTCATTAGCCTATGCATTATTTATTTGGCCTGGGTAGCTACTTGCGCGCCCATGCTTGCCATAGCTATCCAGGCCCTTTATATTGCGTTGCATCTCTCTCCAACTCTCTCTCTCTTCAATACGCTCTCTTCAATAATCTCCCTCTTCAATAATCACCATATAGTCGTTTCGTTCGTCCTGGTCTTAGTCATCCCGTCTCTAATAAATGTCGTTCCACCAACTTACCTGTTCCCGTTGTCAGTTGTGTTAGTGAGCAAAAAACCTCTCTTCTTCGGACCCAACAATACAGAGAGGAACCGCGCGGGTACGCTCATAGAGCCTCTCGTTCCCGATCCAATTCGTTAACACAATGCCGATTAGCGCCCCTAGCTGTTTTCGGTGGAAGGCCTCGATACGGTTTAGCTGCTGTTTCGATGGTGCCCATGTTGCACAATTGTAGCGGAGCACAAAGGCATTATAAAGCCGGACGCGGAGATCCTCCAAAACTAGCGACCTACGGATTCATAGCGTCCAGAGTTTACCAAAGGCAACAGTTGCCAGTTCCTGTCTTCATAGCATATCAGCAACATCACCTACCAGGGACTCAAGTTTCTTGGTGTTTCACAACTCATCCTCGATGCGATCAGTGTGGCACCTGTTGTGCATGTGCTCCATTTTTGTCTCGTTCACTATCAAATCCCATTCGAGGAGCTTGTCGGATATGGCTAAAGGAGGCTCCTCAGCCTCTCACCATCAGTAGTCACGAAATCCACATCATCGGCGTAGGCAGTTTCATTTTTAGTTCAAGGGAAAAAGCGGAAGGAGGACGTGGTAGAAGAGGAGGCCGAACATAACGCAGCGCACCCTCAAGGTACACAATTAAAAAAAACAGGAGACAGTGAGTCACCTGTGGTTGTGCCGCGAAGAGTTGAGAATGCCTAGCCCTTAGCGGATGGGAGTGCAACCCGCAGTAGGAGATAACGGATCATTCAGATCTCATCCAGCTGCAAAAAAGATCTGAGCACCAAGATGAACCGTGGCGTACTTATGCAGTCAAACGCTTTTGACATATCAATGCCTAGGATATCCAGTGCACGGCGATAGCTTTGGCATCAAGCCGCCAACCATGGATACTCCCAAACGACGCCTGTGGTACTTCAGCTGGGGCGGAATCCACTCTGTGTGTGTGTGCAACAAAGTTGTTGACATCCTTGTTGATCCTCCACAGCACAATCAAGCATCTTCCTGAGTGTTGTCAGTAAAACCACAGGCCGTACATGAGCGACTGGTCACCTGGATTTGCAAGGCTTCTGTAACAGAATAAACGACCCAATGGTGTTCAAAATTAGGCCTGTCTCGATGGCAGAGTAGAGGACCTGGGCGATATTGCAATGGACGAGGGGAGATAAGTACTTAACCCTTTGTCCTTTCGCCCATACTTGAAACGTACACCTGTGTACGGTTCAACCCACGCATGTTCAAAGCGACCTGGAAGCTACGCGGATCACCCGATCCACATGAAAATTCACGTGCACACAGCCTATGCTATGTAGAGGATGATACACGGGTCGCTGGGGTTAGTTGCCATTTGAAAAATTTCAGAAAATCAAAGTCGAAGTTTGCTTGCGCCGTAACTTCCGACATGGCAGCACGGAGGTCGCTTGATGCAGATGAAGCGCTTGTTTGAGGATAGCTGGAGTGACCCAAGCGACAATCCTATGTCCTCTGATGAAGAGAACGAACTGGACGAAGCCTTATTAGAAAGTGTCGATTCTGATTTTGATGAAGACGCGGATTATGATGTCGTAACCGTCGACCGAACTGTCGGACATGTCGACCGCTCCGATTTGAGCGCAGGATCGGCAGAACAGCACTCGCGTGGTGAAGAGAGTGTACCACCGCCGTGTCTTACCCGTCGTGGAGCAGCAGGGTCAGCTAGAATGCCGCAGCATGTGGAGCGGGAGCGTAGTCCGATCCCAGAGAGGTCCAGATCTCCGTCACCTGCGCGCCGTGAAACTCATGGTCGACGTAGAGAGAGTAGCCGCACGGGGCCGCAATGTCGAGCATGTTGCTACTGGCACTCCTCTGGCTAATGCTCCGTGTTTGCCCAACATGCCAGGGGTGCTACTCCAGGTCATACTTGTACAAATTGCACATTATTATACATAGGAAAGAAGTTGAACTTAGAATTTTGCCGATTTTTGACACTCTTGTTTAGCCAAGCCTATCTGAGGAATTCAACCCAAACTGCATTTTTAGTTCACAATTATCATAAGCTTTCAGGAAAACATAAAGTGTAAATACAAAATATCAGCTGCTTGGGAATGGTGAGTGGATTTGTTGAAGCCTCACATACATTTTGGGCAAAAGGACAAAGGGTTAAGAAGCTCCTGTGGCATGGCATCTGGGTCACTTGACCTTCCAATGCTTCCATTATTCAAATTTCCAGCTGCCTGTATCACCTCTGCTTCAGAGATGGGCCGCTCAATCCGACGATACTGAATAGCGCAATCCCAGTCAGCAGGGCCCGGCCGTCGCAGTTTCAGTGCACCAGGCTCTGGTGAAAAGTGGTAGGTGATTTGGATGGCTACCGAGTCTGACTGTATTACTTGCCTACCTGTTTCATCATGCACAGGGATAGGCTATTGTTTTTTTGTTGCTGAAGTAGATGTACTGCATGCAACATTGATGCTGTGTCCTTCATTGGTTCTAGTTCCCTCGTCCGAACGTCCTGTTCATTTAATGGTAGTTCCTTTGCCCTCAACCGGTTTCGGTGTGGGAGGGTGTTCCGCCAATGCTTCAGATCAGCCACTTGTTGTGGAACCCTACTTGTGGTTATCAGCAGTCGCAACCGCTTATTCTCTTCCAACCAGGAATGTAGCTGATCATCCATGAAATGTTGTTGCTTCTTTGGGTCAGCACCAGTCCAAAAGTATACCGTTTGCTGGATGAAAGATGGGATCGATGTCCAGTGTGCTTCCGGTGCGCATGTGTCTACTGCACCGTTGGCGATCCGATGGGTGAGTTGGAACTGGACGTTTTGCGGGTAATCACGCTCAATCTATGTAACTGAAACTTCACAGTTCTTTTTTTGTTGTTGTTATGTGCCCACAGGCCATAGATCCTGTTCAGAGGGGCACGTGCAACAACCAGCCGATAGTCTGATTTTACCAGTGTCCCAGCATAGGATCGGGCATCTGTGAAAAGTTGTTGCTGTTTGCTGCTGCTCAAGATGAAGTCTACTTGATTGTAGGAATAGAGCGACCGCAGTTTGGGTTGTGCCTCCAACCTGTACAGGTTGTCAGATGCCTAGCTGGATGTTGAAAGGCAATGTTACATGCAAAGAGACCAAATGACTCCCAGAAATCCTCTAGCATAGCTTCGCTGTAGTTACGTCGTCCATGACCATGACATCCGGTGCATGAGCCACTTGAGTAATCTCCCTGGCCGAGTTTGGCATTGAAGCTGCCAGCCACGAGAACAAGCGAACTAGACCTTACTGAACTCAGGCAATATCCGAGCGCTGAGTGCAAATCGTCGAGATGGACATCATCTGTCGCCACAATTTGATGAGGGATAAAGTACTTCTCTGTACACATTGATTTGTATCTCGGCTGCTCGGTCTGGTACTAATGATATCCGATGGAAACGATCAAACAGGCTGTTGTGAATAGCGTCACCACCGTCCACTTATCACTCACTACTATACACTTCTGCATGTTAACTGCTAGCACATCAATCACATAATTTTGAACCTCGACTTTGTACGAAGGCAGGGATTACTCCCAAGATGTCTTAGTACTGGTAGCTTAGCGAAACCACATGTGCAGGGATTCTGTGTGTGCCTTCCGCCCGATAGGTTGTATTCGGCTAGTGCATGGCCTGGAGAGTTCCAAATTTGACTATTAAAATTCATCCATGTGGACAACATCATTCAATTCCACCTTTTGGCGTTTGGAAACAACGACTAGTATGGTGGTTGTTAACCCCAAGCCTTAGGACTTCACTGGTACTGGCCTTTGCAGGTGACCTACGTAACGGCCGCCTTTCTACAGGCTGCAGTGATCGATTCAGGGATTCAGAAAGTCAAAAGTTGCCAGTGTGACTGCCAAAAATTACAGGGTAACTTGGATCGGTGTACAACCATAGTTGGTTTGGCTGTGATGTGTTGTTGTGAGCGCCAGTGACCTTTCGTTCTGGCACCTTGTTTGTTATAGGCTTTTCATACTACTTTGCATAACACGTCACGTTTTGGAATACTACGTACTGGCAGACGTCGTTTTATGCAGTTGCATTCACACAGGCACGTATACGCTTTTCGTACAGCTGTGCACACAGCTTCTTTTGGACACAATCTGCTGAGAACGACAGAACAAAACTCGGTACAGGGGTCTGGATACGTCGTCTACGTTTTCGTATCAGGGGTACGACTTTCACCCATGTTCCATGTTGTCATGGCGATCTGGACGAACACGTCACGTACGCCACGTTTTGGGTGTAGTGTGAATGGCCAATTAAAGGTGTTCTGGACAAAACTGTCATATTGGATGAGATTCACATGAAAGTGTTTGGCTCTGATATCCCAATGTTTACAGATTCTAAAACGTAAGTTTAGTATCTAGTTTGCAATGCAGTGTTTCTACTTACGTTCGCACGTATAGTTAAACGTCAAACCAACACATGTGTGATTATCAGGGCACAATGTTATCGATCCAAGTGAGACTTCACAGCCACTTAGACAAAGTGATTCGCTCAGATCTGCAAAAAAAGAATCAGACATACAAGTAGCCTTATTATACCAGTGGGTACACACAGGTTTGCTCAACCTCGCCAAACAAGGCATCGTTGTACGTTTGAAGCCAGCGAGAAAAGATGACTACGTCCGCAAAATCAATGTCTGTGCCTGCAAATATGTTGTGCGAGTGACTTTATGTGTCAGTTTTGACATCAAATCAAGTGGTTCTGTGCCCATTATGTTGCTCAGAACTTCAAATTCTGTTTGAATTCATTATTCTCACGATGGCACCATTGCCAATAAGAGTGTTGGTTGAACGATCGCGTGACAACCTGACATTTTCACATTTTCCTTTTCAAAGTTTTCTATTCAGTCCAAAAAATGTCATTCTGTTGTATTCGACTTTCTTCACCTTCTCCCAGCCCCGTGCCATCTCCACACTCAGACAATGTACGACGAGACAACTACACTCAAAGACTATATTTGTTATAAGACGACGGGAACACAACTACAGTCCATTCATCGGAAACTGTCCCGCTGGCTTTCGAAAGTCCGATTTGGGCTGAATTGAGGATCAAAAACTCACTTTAAGTCTCAAAAATCTGGGTTTGGGTTCTGCTTCTCCATACATTTTGCCATGGCATACCTGTCCTAATTTTGTAAAACCTGGCTGAATTTCTATTTCCCTGTTCTTGGACTTTTCTGCCATCAAATGTGGCAAGGGGTGATTGCACGGGTCACACAATGCAGGATGTACTGTTATCTACAACTTTGTGAGGGAGCCACCAAAAAGATAGGGCGCCAGTCAGGCACAATCTTCCTCAGCCTTCTCAGGGGGTGATTTCCCCGAAACACTGTGTATAGAGCAGGGAGTGGTGCCTTCTTGCAGGTTTGCCAAGTCGAAGATGCGATGGACTTCTCGTATGCTCTGGATGGCAGTCATGAGTCAGACAAGTGTCAAGTAAAGTCATCGGAATGGCACGAGCTCCAGTGTGGGAGCAAACTCATTCCTAAAAAATCATCGCCGAAGTCGCAATCACTATTTCGTAATAATAATAATAATTTGAAACTAGGACGGAGTCAGAAAATTTTACAAAAAATGTATAGTCTACGCCTGCATCTACGCAAGAATCACCACCAGCCAATTAGGATATGTGTCAAAAGTATTGAATCTCTAAGTTCCTCCACAAACTCAAACGTGTCTTTAGCACAATGTGTCCTGTACAAGGCAAGAACCGGTTGCAGCGAATTGCATAACCATTTCGAAACCTTGTACTGCGGAGATCCAGACATGCTTAAGATCGGTCGTAATGGAATATGATTTGTTATGCATTTTTGCGAGCCCATACATTCTAGGCCTTGTCGATCCTGTGGGAGCTAGATGATCATATTCATATTTGGTGATCTGATGCGTTCTAGAAAGAAAACGCAGGTACGTACTCAGCTTGGTATCAATGTTTTCGGTATGGTCATACACATCGCAAGGCCCAAGTCTACTGAGTTTACTTATGTCATTGAGAATGACCAACATTTTCTCCCGGTAATTATCCGCAGACAAGATGACCGTTGCACGGCCTTTGTCCGGTCGAGAGATAACGATTTCTGGATTCTTTCGAAGCTCATTGATCACTTTCATGTGTTCTCGTGAGTGATTTAGTGTCCTGAGGCGTTTGTGCGAACCGAAAGGCACATAGGATATGTTTCCCTCATCTGCTGGACGAGGGACTAGAACGACTCTTTACGATAATGACAAAAAATGGCTATCCAAAGACATTTTTTAATGAAACTCATCAACCAGAAACCGACCATGGAAGAAACGATCACTTTTGGACCGGAGAGATGTCCTGTGGTACTACGTTTGCCATGGGTTGGTGCCGATTCTTCGCGCGTCGAAAATGAGGTGCAGAATATTGTTTTAGAATTGCGATCAACAGAACGAGCTGAACCGACATTTCACAAAGGCTTTATTGTATTCAAAAAACGAGTGGATACGAAGGCAGTGAAGAACATGGAAGAAAGAAAAAATGTGATATGGAAAAAATGATTAACAAAAAATTGTACTTCGAACTAGTTTTCACACAACACTCCTCAGGAAGCTACGTTGTACTAATGAAAAACAATCCAAAAAGATACTAATAAAGAGAAATGGAGTGAGAAGAAACAACACCTATGGAAATGATAATCCTAGCACTAAGGTAATAACAGGAGAAACTGCGAAAGCACTTAACGAACTTCTGAGGACTACTAGTATACTGTGACACAATATATGACACCATCGCGGGAAACAGAACCTCGGCAATCAAGTGTCACCTGTCGGGCAGTGCAGTCAAGTGTCAAGTAAAGTCGGCGGAATAGCGCGAGCTCCGGTGTGGGGAGCAAACCTTTCTTACAAATAATAATAATAATAATAATAATAATTTTACAAGAAGTCGGAGGCGGATAATACTTTAATAACGAAGGTACGTGTTAGGTCGTAAGTATCCACGCAAACACACATCCAGTCAAAATAAGGCACTTGTCAAAGTATCCGAACGTTTTCGGTCCCTTCTCATCAAGGATTATACAGGGAATGGCTCAAGTTGGAAAGACTAAAACTTATATAGCGTAAAGATATGAGATAACAACACTCGTGACAAGGTGAAAAAAAGTATCAAGTTCAGCACGACACAAAACTCGAAGGACATAATAATAGCGACAAGAACATAGTGAGCAAATTAAGTTACATTGTTAACACCTCGACGAGGAGTAACACCAAACAATTGTAGCGACAACACATTTTCTTTTTGCACGCAAAGTTCAGGATCTAACTTACGGATATACAAAGCTTCTAACACAGCCAGATGCAACGCACATCTACCACGTGACAATATTGAGAACACATTATCACTGTACAACTCACGACAATTGGTACGGGCTGACAGATGTTGCTTGATGGACGAAGTGCGATTCTTAGCTCCGTTGGGTGTAGTCTCCTCCAATGTCCCGTCATCTCGCCTCTTCGCGGCATCACCACTATCCGTCTCTTTGCTTTTCCGCGGCCTTCCACGTTTTCTGACACTAGCCGTTGTGTGCGCGATGCCCAGTGTCCTTTCAGCTACGTCTCCTCCATTGCGGATTTCTATTGATCTTCTTACTCCAACTTGTCCGGTGTTCGATATTGAGGTTCGTTTTCGCGGTCTACCACGTTTTCGAATATTGACTGTTGTTGTCACTTCCGTTGTCGTTGTACGTGCGTCCTCACCAGTCCGTATTTTTACTTGGCTTCGCGTAACCCTTCCCGACGCAGACAGATCCTTTGTCAATTTCGGTGGTTTACGTGTCGGTCTTTCACCATCTTTCACGCTGTTCTCAGCTGGACCCTGCGCTATACACGCGGAGGAGGACGGGCATGCAGTGATATCTTCACAGGAAGAGGAAGATCCACCGATGGACTGGACAGCACATTTTGGAGGACGACCACGGCGAGGACGACACTCACGCGCATCAAGCGGAACAAAACTTAACGGCACATGTTGACGAATGCGCGCGCCCAGGTGCTGAAGGGTTCTACCTACATACCGATCTTCACATTGTCGGCATTGAAAGAAATAGATAAGGTTACTTTTACTAAGGGTAGGTAGAACATCCTTCTTCACACTGAACGCACGCACTGTCCCAAATATGACGTACAGCTTGACGCACGGATAAGATGGACATACGATACCACGAACATCCTTCTCCACGCGCGCAGAACCGGCGCCAACCCAGGGTAAACGGAGCACCACTGGGCAAAGGTCAGGTCCAAATTGGATCGGCTTGTCTGTCGCCGGTTTTTCGTTGATAAGCTTGGCCAGAAATTCCTTTGGATAGCCGTTGTTCGTAAATATTGATGTCAGTCTGTCTAATTCGTCCTGCAATAGATGAGGGGAACATATTCTATGCGCACGATAAACTAGCGCTTTCACAAGATGTTTCTTCGATTTCGTTGGAGTATAGCTCCCCCACGGAATGTAGAGGCCGGTGAAAGTTGGCTTCCTATAGATAGTGGTGTCCAAACTCTTAGTGTTAATGTTGCGTGAAATTTGTACATCCAAGAAGGATAATCTGCCGTTTTGTTCCGCTTCCGACGTGAATCTCAACGCCGGATGGAGGCTATTCAGAGTTAGTAGAAAAGTCCCACAGACAGAAAATGTGTTGTCGCTACAATTGTTTGGTGTTACTCCTCGTCGAGGTGTTAACAATGTAACTTAATTTGCTCACTATGTTCTTGTCGCTATTATTATGTCCTTCGAGTTTTGTGTCGTGCTGAACTTGATACTTTTTTTCACCTTGTCACGAGTGTTGTTATCTCATATCTTTACGCTATATAAGTTTTAGTCTTTCCAACTTGAGCCATTCCCTGTATAATCCTTGATGAGAAGGGACCGAAAACGTTCGGATACTTTGACAAGTGCCTTATTTTGACTGGATGTGTGTTTGCGTGGATACTTACGACCTAACACGTACCTTCGTTATTAAAATAATAATAATAATAATAATAATACACAAAGGCACACAATGAAAACCTTGGCAAATTTATTCCGTTGTGACTCCGAGTTTCATGGCTGAACCAATCATCAGACAACGCCGCTCTGCCTGAATCAGGCATTGAGCACTCTTGCAGAACCAAAGCATATTGCCTCTGTAATAATAATAATAATATTAACTGGTTTGAGGGAAAGAGACAAACGGGAAAAGTCTGAAGAAAAAATTGACTGTCACCACCAGGACTCGAACCAGGGACCCTCGCTTGTAGCCAGCGATGCTCTAACCACTGAGCTATGGTGTAGTCGTCATCCCAGCAGAGGCCGTTCAACATTTTCTTCAGACTTCGTAACTCACACTTCCTGTGAATCCACACAGGCGGGTGGGACGCAGCCCTCACTGTAACCCACACACTTCACGTACAAACTAGCACGCGGGGAGCCCCAAGTCATAACATATTTAAAACTGGTTTGAGGGAAAGAGACAAACGGGAAAAGTCTGATGAAAAAATTGACAGTCA